ACAGCGCAGTATGAGTGATAGACCATTAGTATGTTTAAACTAATGATTAATATAATAGGAACTAGTTTCAAAGATGGCCACTATGATAAAAGAGGAAACCGATAGTCCATCACAAGTTCAAATGAAAATTGTCCGGTACTATAGAAGGTACTGCTTTATGGTAATTGAGATCCCCTACAGAGCTTAACTATTTCAGATACAATTTTGTTTTGATATGCTATTTGACTGAAACATAAACAAAAATGCGAGTTTCAATGTTGTATTACTAGCAAATGTTTATTGAATAAAATTGCAACTATCGCAATGAAATATAAAAAAAACAAAACACCATTTTGTCAGCCATGTGGAAAACTTTGAAAAATTAATATTTGACAAATTATTTAAAGTAATAGAATGTTACTACAATTGAATCGGAAATTTTTCGTTTCATTATCGGATATTAAGTTTACCTTAATTGGTTCCCAACGGAATAGCTGCGGTCTGTCGTGGTATTTGTCAATGCAAGGCCCGTCGTCTTCATTTCTAAAGCACACACCATTTTCACAATCCATTTCAAAACGTAACTCTTCGCTTTCGCTATTTTCACCCAAAGACAAGTTAACCAAGACGAGAAAAATCCCAGTACTGATAAGACGAAATGCATAYAAGTGCCTCATAATTCTGATTATTCTAAATGCTTCGTTTGCCAAACTGATTCTGTTGAAATTTAAACTTTAAAATGGCAGTTTTCGACTATTGTTTTGATTTGACCAAWGCGCATGCTCGAAATAGGAAGAAAAAAGGACAAATACATTAATGTATTAATAACATAGCTTCGTGCAATTTATCATGTTTCATTGCCACTTCAGTGCGAGAAAATGCTCTTTTAATTCATATTTGAATAAATCCCACCCGAACAACCTGCAGCAAGGAACAATGTTTCACWAGACAAATGTCGCAGGTTCGTCAAAGAACTGCTCTTGTCGTAACCAGGCAACAACTACTTGAAGTCACCTGACCAGTCGTGTTTTGATTCGACCTGCTGAAGAGGCGATATGCTACACGGACCATGATGCAACACGCCGGGAAGAAAAAATTTCACGATAAAGAGTTTCGATTTTAAAAGATTAACTGCGACTAACTTAAAAAATAAGAACAAAATGCATTAAAATGTTTTTAATACACATCTATGTTATAAATTTTGGAATCAAAGAATATTAAAACGTGTTTAAAAACGCTGAAAGAGATATTTTCGCGCGCTAGAAAAAAAATGAGGTGGACTTGTAACTAGTAAGCTCCAGTCTCGCTCAATTTTTATCAGCACGCAATGCATGCTGGGACAYTAATATGGCGTCTAGGTAAAAAGCCATTGATCAAAATATTTTTGCCTTGAAATCTGACGTTAGATCGTAAATATCTCATAGAAATMCGGATAAAAATGACAAGGAAACGTCCAAAACGTGATGATAAACGGCCAAAGTTGAAAGCTTTGGCGGAAAAAGCTAAAAAACTACGTGAATCGGTCGCAACAGGAAATGTGAAAATGGTTCGAGAGCTCATTAATGGCGGAGCATCAGTGAACCAAAAGGACCCCAATGGATGGACATTACTTCATCTAGCAGCAAGCAGAGGACAGGAAAGAGCTTTAAGGGTATTATTAGAGGAAGGAGGCGATCCGTTGGTCAAAGATTCCGTCGGTGGATTTACTGCACTGCACTACGCAGCGATGCATGGGAGAACTCGAATATGTCGTCTTCTTCTCGACTACGAAGGACTCGATGGCAAAAAACTCGTCGATGCGAGGAGCGACGATGGTTGGACTTCTCTTCATGTTGCTGCTCACTACGGTCGGGAACCGTTTGTTAAACTATTACTAGAATCAAACGCTCACGTCGATGCTTTAAGTGATAAAGGAACCACGGCACTTCAGCTCGCCATTATTCGTGAGAGAACTACTTGCGTTCGAGTTCTTCTCGAATCCGGTGCGAATATAGATGTCCAATTCGGTTTTCCTCTTCGTTACGCTGTCATAAAAGGAAATTTTCTCTGTGCCAGAATTTTGGTCGAACATGGAGCTCAAACAAGTATAMGAAGACTTGAGGATGGCCAAACTCCACTTCATCTCGCTGCWCTAAGGAACAACGAGACCCTTGCTAAGCTTTTGGTCACGTTCGGCGCCGATGTAAACGTATTTAATGACGAAGGATTAACTCCTTTAGGGATATCTCAGATGATGTGCAACGTTAATAATACGGAGAGTGGATGTGTGAAATACTTGACTAGTGCAACTCGTAAGTGCCTTGGTTTTCAATTAAGTCAGGGTTTTGACATCGATATTGCTCATTAGATTAGTATATATTATATACATGTATAGCGTGATTTGAGATCTCTATTTACAATTAACAAGCCATCTCAAATGTATTTTTTGTTATAGTCCATGAAAAGGTATTAGGAAATAAGATTTCAATGTTTTTCAAAATAAGATTTTTGTTAAGAATAGTAATACATTGAAATTCGTTCATGCAAGTTGGTTTTGAAAAATTTTACAAGTGCACTTATATCCTTGACATCCAAATTTTGCCCCATCTTTTTTTCATAACCACCTTTCAGAGCTTCTGATCTGGATTAGTGTTTGTTTTGAATCAATGTTTGTTTAACACAGATATAAATAGTGCAGGAGAAATTGTCAGGTGGTTGAAACAATGCCCAAAATAGCTCATGATGTCATTTCAAAAAATGATTTGTGTAATTTTATTACACAAAAAGAAAACAAACAAAAACAAACTTCAAATTAATGCAAATGTATATTTGTTACTTAAATAGTTTACCACATAATGTATAATTCGCATTTGTGAATACCTAAATATAAAACTGAATCTCCCAACTCAATGAATTCTCAAAATGTTKACYTTTTTTTCTTTTCTCTTTCAGGAAATGTTCGAAGTTTACAAGACTGTTGTCGACTAGTGATTCGTCAGACGTTAAATCGTGAACGCTTAGCAGACATTTCTAATTTACCGCTGCCTGTCCACTTAAAACACTTTCTGAATTATAAATACAATTTCCTTCAAGAATAAACATAWGATTGAATAGCAAACTTCATTTGTATTATTTGTGAATTGGAGCCACAAGTGGATTTTTTTTACCAGACAAAAAATGTGAAATAGTTAACGATGTTTTGGAAATCATTTGTAAATGCTATGCAAATATAAGTTAATAGGAAAATTATTGTATATTTAAAAGATTATTCATTAGTAAAAAAGGTAGAGTTAAACAGGTTGATTATATTTTGAACTGAATGTGAGGATTTGGGTTTCCTGTGTACACAGGCATCCAACAAATAGTAAAAAACAAACAAAAAGAAATCCAAAAGATTTCGTTGGTCTTCCATATGACAGTGCTGCATATAGGCCATTTGCATGATGGCGTAACTTTACTCATACAACTACAGGGGCGGATCCAGGATTTTCCTCAGGGAGGGGGGGTGCAGGACTCTCAGGAGGGGGTGCACCCCACAAAAGTCATTACCATGAAGATAAAAAATAAGGAAAGTATTGAAGAATACAGATCTCAGGAGGGGATAGTCAACTCCGATGCAGGCGCGCGCTTGTAATTCTTTTTTTGTAAATTTTTTTGTAAATGCTCTATTCGCAGAGTAGCTCATTTTTTGCATCGAAGACCTTAATTGAGCGGGAGCCTGCGTCACGCTAAGTGTGGCAAGAAACTAAAGCTGCTCGAAATAGAACGTTACAATATTGTATCGACATCTTTTTTTATAGATTGCTAATAAAGTTATAAAATATTTTTTAATTCTTAGATAGTACTTTTGGGATTTGTTTTGTACATTTTAAAACTCCCGCTCATTTAGTGCATCGAAGCTGCTCGAAA